GGAAAGACTGACAGGAATAAGGGTCAAAGCAGAATTTGGTGAACGGCAGGTAATTTGTCTCTGGGGAGAGGTATGTGATTAGGGGAGGTGGACCCCAGACGGCTCTGGGTCAAGCAGCAAATGAGAAGTGGGAAAATGAAAGAAAGGAACAGCTTTTAGAATGTTTGCTTAATTTTGTTCGCTGCCAAGTTACAAAAATATCAGTTATTCAAATTACAACTTTCTTTTTACATTTTACTATAGGATGTTAGGTTTTAATTATGGCGGGAGAATATTTTTGATCATGTGAAATCATGGAATTGCAGGCAGATTACACATAAAATAAAATATTAATCTCTAACTTCTTATTAGTGATAAGGCAGTTAATATAGCACTAAATGTGGACCAGAAATAAAAACCTCAATCATTCTTACAAGAATTCAGGAGGTGTTATCTTGAAATGGCACATGCTGAGAATTCTTCAGAAGAAACATGCTACTAAACAGGTTCTCAAAGCAGTGTCCTGATGCTTGGATTAACTAGGCGTAGAGATAGCCTTTAAAACAAAGATTTAAAGGTAGTAGTTTTAGCCTTAAAAACAAAAGGATTTATTTACAAATAAACAAAGAAAAATGTGGAATTGCTATTCCAGTTATATTTTTAGGATGCTAACAAAGTTTTCACAAAGTGGTAACCCGGCCATGAAATCAGATATATAGAGGGAACTCCCTGGCGGTCCATTGGCTACGATTCTGTGCTTTCACTGCCGAGAGCGTGGGTTCGATCCCTGGCTGGGGAACTAAGATCCCACAAGCTGCACACCATGGCCAAAAAAACCCCAAAAATCAGATCTATGGAAAATGGCCTGTAAAACATGAAATCCATACATGATGGAAGTGAGGAAGACACTATATTATACACAGATGAAACATGGTCTTGCACTATGGACTGGAATTTAGAATTAGGCTCAGTTCTAATTAGCAAGGAAAACGTTTCCCTATGCAAAAGTTTCTCAGGCATATTGGTGAGGAAATAGAGTAATCCATTAAATAACCCAAAGAGGAGACTTTGTATCTTCTTTTCGCTTCTATTCCTTTCGCACTCCATAGCCAACCCATCAAGAGACCCTGCTAGTTCAGCCCTCCAAATAGATCTCGAATCTGTCTACTGTCTCACCACCTCTACTGGTCTCTGCCTTAGTTCAATTCACCATCATCACTCACCTGGGGTCTTGGCCAAGTGAGTGTCAGAGGAACAGAGTTGGGTTCTGGGGGGAAATGGGCACAGAAGAGGGAATCAAGGAAGGCCAAGGGAAGACAGTCAATTGGGTATCCACTCAGTACTGCATCTGTAAGGCCTGAAATGTGACTCAAGGGAAAAGTAAAAAATTACTCTGTCACACTGTGGTCTTTGCATGAGGTTGGGACTGGGTACCAGTAAGAGAATTCCTTCTTGTCTTGGTCCTGCATTTCTTTCAGGAATTTCTTGCAATTAAAGCAAATATTTAATTTACTTGTAAACTTTCCACGTAGTTTAACTTTTATATATTTGAGAATGCTTTGAATTTTGAGGTAAGAAGTGACTTTTGAACACTTTGTGTGTGTGTGTGTGTGAGACATTCTAAATTTAATGGCTTCATTTAAAAATAGCTAGTCAGGGAGATAGCCCGCCGCGTCTGTGGGTTCTGCATCTGCACATTCAACCAACCACAGATGGAAAACATTCAGGAAAAAAATTCCAGGAAGTTCCAAAAAGCAAAACTTGAATTTGCCATCAGTGGGTAACTATTTCCATAGCATTTACACTGTATTTAGAACTATTTACACTGCATTAGGTATTATAAGTAATCTAGAGACGATTTCATGTGTATGGGAGGATGCATATAGGTCATATGCAAATACTACACCATTTTATATAAGGAACTTGAGCATCCATGGATTTTGGTATCTTCATGGGTCCTGGAACAAACCCCCCGCAGATACCTAGGGGTGACTCTACATACAGTAAGCAGTAAGTGTTAGCACATTATGTTTTAAACAACCTTCTGTATCAAAATGTGAGACAGGTGTTTACAGGCATCTGACTACTTTAGTGAGGTATTAGGGACATTTAAGTCCTCACCATGAAAAATGCATCTCTATATCTATGTGAAATTTCAAAGTTAAAATTCAAACATATGGATAGCTCAATGGAGTGTTAAAGATTTTAGGGACTGTTAACTCTTTCTTTCTGGGAATTATAAAATGTTAAATCTGAAAGGCACTAGAGCACGATCCCTTAAGACTACAGATGATGAAACTGAGGCCCAGAAGAGCTGAGTGACTCTTTAATGACAGACGTAGGGTTAGAGTAGGCAGTGTGCCTGCCTTCCATCAGAGTGTCTTGTTGCCTAGGAGATGACAAGGGTGAATTAGATCAACTCCAGTGTTTGTGGAGAGAAATAATAATACTATATTTTGATAAATTTTAAGATGCACATTTTCTACCCGCACTTTTAGGCCTCTTCCCCTAGGCTAACCGCTACATTTCTTGAAAACAATTAGTAGTCCTTATATACATTACTTAGAGACCAATAATTGAGGACAAGAGATTTCTGGGGGTTAGGCAATGAGACAGGGTTATACATGGGGAAGTGAGCTCCACGAAGAAAATAACTAGGGAATCCATGAGAAATAGATCAGCAGGCTCAGAGTATTTAAAAGCTCCAAGGAGCACCACACACATTATAGCCTAAGGGAAGGGTCCCTCTGGAGGTGTGCACTGCACAGACCCTGTACCTTATGGTACATCCTAATTGGGCTTGATCTTAAAACTGAATAAGTAATATACATCCTTATCCAGAGGCTAGGAGCCTGTGTCTTGAAACAATGCTCTTCTGTCAGGCCACAGATAACCCCCAAGGAAGTCGGTGTATTTGCATTTTACTCCCTTTATTGTGCCATGAAATTCTGTACATAGTTTGTACTACTAATACTGAAAACTGTTTTTTCAACTCTATCACATAAAATTATGTTCAATAGTATTCAAATAATGAAAAACAATTTAAATACTAACATTCTGATTGACTTGACAACCTTATAATTTAAATGGAAGTGGTATTTAGCATTTTACATTACTA